CTGTAATCACCGGGTATGGAGACCTTTCCCAAGACCTGCATGTTGATCTGCAGCCAAATGCTATTTTCACCTCCCTGCTGCCGGGCGTGCAGAAACTGCCGATGAGCAGCTCTACAGCAGTACACTTCCTTCAGGTTTCTTTCCTTCATTATTAAAATACCAGTAGTCAGACCCAGCTCCAGGTTGTACCCAGCTGTGCCCAGGGCTTGAGGAGGACGTGGGTCATCTCCATCAGTGAGCTGAAGGCAGCAGAACACGCCAGGTGAGAGCTCACAGGAAAGGACATGATTATTTAATATTATAAACTCAGGACCAGCCTTCAATGTGTATCCAATAAATATTCAAAAGTCACCTCTGAAATCTGATGGACATTGCAAAATTGGATAGGGGAAGGGAGAGGCAATTGTATGTATCATCTCTGTTACAGACACTAAAAACACACCTGCAGCTGCAGCTCCCAGGGCAGCTAAACCAGCCCCTAACAGCTTGTTGTGCTGGAAGGGGAGACATACACTGCTCAACGCTCTCAGGTCCTCTGTGGGGCTTCTGCCCTTTTAGGAAGGTCCAGTGAGCCCTAGCGCTGGCATAAGGTAGGTGGCAGGAGGCAGGGAGCTCTTAGTTTGGTGTGAAACCACTGTCAGCTTAAAATGCTGGCTTAAGCAGAGGATTTGCATGAATATGTTTACCCAGTTGGACCTGGAGACTGGCAGGGCTCCTGCCATCTACAAGTAAGGAGAAAGCTGTACGGTACACAGTAACACTTCACTAAGCAGTCCAGCTTGTCAAGCATATAAAACAATAAACTTACTCAAATAGGAGAAATAAATTTTAGGCATGGGTTAGTAGAGCAGTAAGTATAAGATGTTTGCTGAGGTCCTGTATTATTTTTTTTCTTTTTGGTGTGTTTATTTTCCCCAAAAGCCACCAGATGCAAGTGATATGCACCACACAATGACCTTGCATGAAGACCACGGCGGTCATATTTGAAAATGGCTTTTAGGGCAATACAATAAATCCACATTCTTCACATTCTTTATAAACTTTTTGCTATATTTAAAAGCAGAGTCTCAACATATTTACATGTCTTTGAAGACAGCATCTCCCCTCCTTTTCCAAAAGCCCTTCTGAACTCTGCTCAGTCACAGATGGTGGAGGCAGCACCCACAGCCATCCCAAGTCCAGTTTTGGACTCACAGCTGCCAGTCCCCCACATCCCATCTGTCCTCCCTTCCAACAGTCCCCATTTCAATCCTGCATCACCCAGACCAACTCCTGGGCTTAAATCCCCTGCACTGTGCTTTGCTTTTCTTGGAAGGTGCCCAGAGCCCCTCGTCTTACAGAAGGATTTGAGCACAGTCACCACCACTCCATGAACTATGCAGTCAGGGCTGCTTGTTTTGGGAAGTTGTAGGGGTCAACACACCATGAAAAACAACACGAAGCTCCATCTGTGAGCAGGAAGATGGCTTTCTGAGGCATTGTCCCTGCCAGGTGAGCACTGTGAGCAGTGATGGTGCCCTGTGTAGCTCTGGAAACTCTCCTAGAGCATGTCCACTAACCAACAGCATTCACACATTTCCTGCAAGCATCCAAAACATGAGGTATTGCGACAAAATCACATCTGAATACAGGAAAGCCCAGCATTAATATACTAAACCCTACCCCCCAAGAATAAAGAAAGGTAAATACTACTGTTATATATACACTCCATGAAGAAATGTCCATTTGATCATTTACCTCCAACCTTTTTTGCAAAGAGTTTCTTTTGTTCCCAAATGCTTCACAGACAGCATCTCTGCAAATGTATAGACTTGCATGATATTTTTAGGGATTATTTGGTTTAGAAACAGCTCATGTGAATCTTATTCCTAATCCTTCTTGTGTGTGTTACAAATGTGGTTAACATTTGTCAGTGGCTAATGACGTTGCTGGTCAGAGGAGATGATTTTTCAAAACACAAAAATAACAGTGAATATAGTTATTAGATTTACAGGCTTCATACTAGGAGCACTCCATCCCAAATAATTATCTGACCTAAAGAAGCAGGGAGAGGACTTTCAGAAGTTCTTACTGACTTAGCTGTGAGAGGTTAGAACCTCACCTCTGTGCTCAAGAGCAGCATGGAGACGCCTGAGCAAACACTGGCTTCGGTTCAGTCCTTCCCAAACACCATCTCGCAGCAGCAGCTACTTCATTTATTCCTCTACAAACACGGTTTGTTTGACTTAGGCTTGCACCAGTCAGAAAACTGGCTTTGTCCAAAAGAGATTGTCTGCTTTGAAGAGCTCGCTTGGTGGTTCCAAGCAGCATCCTCCCCCTTCAGCTCCGCGGGTCATCAGTAGCACAGACGTGACACATCAGTGTGAGAAAATGGAAGCCACCAAGCAATCCAAGCCAGCAGAGACAGCAATTTAGCTCCAATTTACACAAAATGGAAGATGTTAACAGGTGGAGGCAGCTTTACTGAACTTGTGACAAGTTCATCTGCACACGTTCAGTCAGTATTTCTAAACAATGAGGACTAAAAGGATGAGGTTGTTTTTGTCAGAGGAACGCAACCAGAACGACGCTGAAGCAGAAAATCCCCAGTAAGAGGAAAGAGAGGAAAAGCTCTCAATTCAAAACTTGAGCGGTCACAGAGACAGAAAACCAGAAATTTGGGCAATTTAGGAATGAAAAAAAGAGCAACTTCTCTCAGACGTAATTCAGCTTGAACTTCCAGCTAGACTGCGAGGTAAAAGCCAGCCACAAATCACTACAGGCAGTGCGAATGAAGAGAAATTTCTGGTCCAGGCATGCACATGCTAGTAGGATTTTATCCATCGGCATGAGATCATCCAGAGATGAAATAAAAAGCAGGGGGCAAAGAAAAGGGAATGCAGTAGGCCAAATGGGCCAGGTGGTTTTGGAGGAAGGTTTGTATATGTACACGAGGAGAAGCAAGAAAAAAACCAAAACATAAAGAAATATGGAGAATTAGGCGAGGGTGAAGGGTAAGGAAGAAGGTCTATTCTATAGAATAAAGAAATCTGGTATTTAATAAAAAAGCATAGTGAAAAGGATTGAAGTGAAGATTGAAGGAACTCATTCTCCACATACAACTATTCTCCATGGAAATTGCCAAAGATGGAGTTTCAGCAGAGGAAGCAGAGGATTTTCCCTAGTTCACATCTGAAATGGGCTGTGAAGCTCACAAAGTAGAAGAGCCAGCTATTTCAGCACAGAAACAGGTATTTATCTTCCCCTCATCTTCCCTCTTGGTCTCCCAACCAAATCCAACCTGGCCAAATACAGCATCAGTTCAGGATAAATGTCAACGACGTGCTCACAACAACGACCTCCCTGGGGCACTGCATTAAGCCCGCTCAACTCTTAGAGCATCCACAGCCCAGAGAGGACACTGTTGCTGCCAAGGACCATTCCCTTTGCAATTCCCTGACTTCTTGAACACAGAAAAGGAATCCCTCACATTTTTACTGTAATTTTTTTACTCATGATATAGGAAAAATATCTGAAGGTCCAGGATGAGCTCATAATTCATGGGTAAAACATATAGCTTATCCTAAAACTGTCTAAACAGAGGACTTTAGTGAACCCAGGGATTCAGCAGAGGAACTCAGACTTTAAGATTGTTTAAAAGCAACAGCAAAGAACCCCTTCTGCTTCTGCAGGCTGAATGCTGTAACTGTCCTCCACCACTAACGCAGACACTGCACAAGGCCACACTTTTATCTGCTCCTCTGTGTTAAGCCTGCGAGTGCTGGTGACCCCCTGCAGACCACTGCCAGCCTGTCTCCTTCGCTTGCACAGGCGTTACAGTTACACAGAGAGAGGGTAAACGGCTCATTCTATTCAGTTTACTACTTTCATGGGCTGCTAAAGTGAGCTTGAGAAAGCAAGTGCCCCTCTCAGGACCGCTGTCCCCTCCTCCTCCCAAGTGCGATGCTGTCTATGGCCAAAATGAGACCTCCAGGCTCCACAGCCTGCTGCCACCAGGCTTCAAGGCAGGCAGGGTTGGATCCGATCTCTGTGTGTACTGCTGCCGAGGCAACCCACCTTGTACAAATATTTATTGGAAAATGCATAAAAGCAGTACAAGAGGGAAGTTAAGTATTGTCAGAACACATCAAATACCAGCTTAGAAGCACGGTTTGCATCACCAGATGGGCTGTGGCCGTCAGGAGACAAGGAAATGAATGGAGCTGCACACATTCACGGCCGGAGGATCCGTCCCAGGCTGAACCATTTCAGCCGAGCAAAACACAGAAAGGAGTATTGTGGGGGCCCACAGACAGGCCTGGATCAGCTGTCCAGGCAGCTCACTCCCCGTATTACGTTCCTCGCCGCAGACAAAGGCCCGGGTAGGCAGAGCCAGCCGGCGCGGTGCGGCGAGCCTCCCTGGCACCCAGCAGGGACAGAGCCACCCTGCCAGCTGTCCCCTGCGGGGCTACGGGTCACACAGGCACAGCCAAAAGCCCAGAAATTCGGTACGCTTGGTGTGACCGACGAGCCGAAGTGACCTGGGAAGAACAGCCATACCTGGATGTGAAATGCTGCTGCTGAGGCACAACCTCCTACAGACCTCTGGGGTGGAAGAGGGTTTCTCCTCACCTCCCATGCCCACCTCCAGCACAGTCTGCAGCTATTTGTTCCACGGAGGAGCTCTGCAGACAGGGGTTTGTACTCCTGCAGCCACAGCACCTCCTGGTTGCTCTTTCATCCCTGAAATTAACCTTAATAACCACAAAGTGACAGAAAGATGTACTTACAGACAGATATCTGACCAAAAATATACATACGCTCTCAGATACATTAACAGGGTTATTTAGAATAAAAGCGTGTTCCTTCAAAAACAGTGAGAAACAAAACCCACCCGTCTCCCCCCCACACTGGTGGACTCGGGGGGGGGCATGAATCTGGTCCAAAAAGCACTAACTCACCCCATTTCAAGAAATCTGGCACATTTTTGAAAGATAAGTTATTAAAGTTTGTGAAAAGTGTTAGCACAAAGCATTTTTAGGTTTATTTAAATAAAAATTATAATTTATACAAGACTTTTTAAACAAACGAGATTTTCTTAAAAAATGTACAGGGCACATCATTTCATTATTTCAATTCTTCATACAGTATAAGTCTTTTGTCAAACAAAAGTTACACTGATAATGAATTATTTACAACTTCAAAATATAGACTCAAACTTCAGACATAAAAATTTTAACATCCATTATATTTCAATGATTAGTAGAAATTAAACATCTGCCAAAATGTACAGAATTCAATAAAAACTACCAGTGTTTTTAATACAAGTTTAAGTAGCCAAAAAAAAGTACATCCTTTCATCTCTTCACGTCTGGGTAAAATCTCTTTTCTCTTCGTCTGCAGGAACAAGGGTTGGGATTTGCTGCTGGCGTCCTGTGTGATGTCGCTACCAATAAATAGCTTGTTTCATTCAATCTTGCCTCACAAAAGCTACAGCGCATGGAAAGGCATGATTTCATATTTCAGCTTTATTTTTTCCTTTTGAATTTAAACGGTCACCGGTAAAGAATTAAAGCAGTCAGTTTTCATCTCCCTTTTTTTTTTTTTAATCTCTTTAAAAGGGACTCAAACCAACCAACGCACTTCTAAAGAAGTTAAATCTGATTACATGTGAATGATCCAGCAATGAACCACAGACATCAACAGAATTGCAAGTATAAACAGCAAACAGACAGACAGAATGACAAGAACATCACGTTCTGCTATTAGAAAGTAGCACTTTACATGAAGTGGTACGAGCCACAGCCTGTTACTGAAGTAGGACAGGCGATCCTGCAACTCTACCTAAGATGATGGGAATTCAAGGTGAACTTCAGTGTAATGACACAAATCAAGTCTATATTGACTCCCTGTCCATCCCTCGCCCTGAAGGTGCAGCAGGAGGACACGCACAGGAGACCCTGGGAGCAAACACACCGGGGTTTTCTTCTAGTGTCTGGTGTCACCTACACCACAGGAACAGCTCAATAGAGCCGCAACCCGGACAACCCAATGTAAAGTGCACTTTGCTAAGTATGTACACAGATGTTTGTCAGTTATATTACAACTCTATTTTCTTTTTTTTAAAAAAAAGAAACCAGTCTGTTTTCTATATATCAGAATGAAACAATGTTGCATTGCAGTTTGCACTAGGTTTAAGAATTGCTAATTTTTACGTTCACACTCCTAAAAGTGTGGATTTATTTCAAATGCCAAGACATTAGATTTCATAAGAAGTTTCTAATTTGTTTGTCCAGAAAAAGACTATTTTAAGAGCATATTGTACGCATGAGGCATTCCAGTCTGGGAGAAGGGTAATGATTTCTTTTCTCCCTCTCCGAAGGTACGGTTAATGGTCCTGGCACCATCAGCACAGGACCTATAGCTCCTCCAGGATCCAGAATCTAGGACAACCCTATATACCAGGGCCAACCAGTGAAGGGTGGGAGGGGGAGGAGGTAATAAGTGCAAGTCAACTGCTTTCCTACTGAAACTGCTGTCATGATCAGAGTGAAGGTATAAATTACACTTGAAAAATGATACAAAAATAAGAAAAAGAGCATGCTCTTTGTAAAAAATATAGTTTTGTGTTTCTTCAAAAAAAAGGATAACCTTAAACACATCCAAATGATTTTCTTTTTTTTCTTAAGACAAAATGAATGAATCTGATTAAGATTTATATAACATTAAGCGATTTTAATGCCTATTTCTTAGCCACAATAACTATTCAAGGAAGCTTCTGGAAAGGAAAGCCAAATGATAATACACCGCAATTACAAAAGGAGATTCACTGATTTTAAATTAAGTTTGATGAGAAAAAATTAAGATCAAGGATTTTAACACAAACATAAAACCTCCATGTGTGAAGAAACTGTAAACTGTCAAGCTACATCCGTATTACGTGGTGGCAAAATGGATTTCCCACCAGCTTCACTGACATTTGAAGTTTTCAGGCCCTGAGTTACAGCAGCCTCAGGAGGGGTTAGAAACGCACCCCTCTGCAGGTCACGTGAAGACATGTTCAACTGCTACTCTAAAGGGAGAACTCAAAAATAGCACTTTAGCCATTATGGTGGATTCTCCCCCATTCTTGTTCACCTTTCCACTCAGGGCGTAGAGTTTTACCCCACCAGTGTTTCACTTTACAATACCCAACCAAATCATGGTATTCAACAGTATTTCTTCAGATCAAGTTCGTCTCATACCTCTTCTTGGCCAGACTGAAATAAGGTTTGTACAGTTTGACTGCCACCTTCATCACCACTGCTTTTGTTCAGAGATAGTTTTTAATTAAACTGTGCCAAGAGTTAAACACCTTCTGGTGTTTGTCTCCCCTCTCCCTCCTTCATTTTACCCCTTTACTTATAAATAAAGAACATTTCTATTAAAAAAAAAAAAGAGAAAAAAAATCCATGAAATTAACTCCCACTTTTACATAAGGATTTGCATCTCCACTGCATTTTTTGGGGACATTCATGTAATGTCTGGAGACATCCATACTACTCAACTCAAAAGACCCAGCAAAGGAAAAGACATATTGGAAGGCTTGGCATAACTCCTACTGTGCTTTCATGAAAATGCAAATAAAGTTCTAAACCTCTCAGACGGGTGCTATTATATAGAGTATAAAAGCTTTCTAATATTAAAGACAAAGGTCAATATGTGCTTTGCTGCTAAAAAGGCCTGAGAGAGTTTAGAGAAGGAGCACAGCCTTCCTGTTCTACCTGGCAGTTGGGTTTAATTGTTACTAAAATTTAATTTTGCAAGGGGAAAGACAGCAATATACCAATGCCCCTCAAATTATGCTTTGAAAAGGAACTAGTGCATTCAGCTGCTATATTGTAGTGTTAATTTTATTACAAGGTAACTCCAGACAAAAGCCAATTAAAAAAAAAAAAGTAAATCATGTCCCAGTTTAATTATTCCCACCTCCCCCAACACAAAACGCCTGCAAGTCTTTAATGCATTAACATACAAACACTTTGTACATACATGTACAGTAGTTGAGCCCTTCTATGACAAGTATCTACAGAAATACAAATATACGATGCCTAACATTTTAGGAACATTTTGGTGCCCTCTTTTATAAAAAGTATCTGCCTGCCTTCCTTCCTCTTACTTTGGTTAATTAGGAAAGGAAGATATAGTTACAAACTTTCTCCTCCAATTCACTGTACAAGCAATTTAAATGTCTATGCAGGAAAAACCGAACCTAACCAAACCGGTGAAGTACCCTTCTACAATGCGAGAATTAGCAAGAAGGAGTTATTTTAAATGCAGTTATAAATATGGAAATACTAAAATGATAATACTTCCTTGGTGTTGCTTATCAGTTTTAATAAAGAACCTAATTAAAAACTCTGAGCTGAAGAAAGAGACTTCAGGCTGCTGCAGTCATCGTTCTCTCATCTCGGGGAAAAAGAACTAAGATAAAGGGACAAATGTATCCCTCATGATATCAGTAGAATTAAAGGGATCAGTCTGTTTCACTTCATTATTTAGTCAGTTCTCCAAGTATCTTCCCAGCTTTTAATGTCAGTAAATAAACATTAAAAGTGCTTAATGTGCAAGGCTAATAGTGATGATAGCACTTTCACTGTTTTGTTTCATTTTTTTTCTTTTTTTTTTTACAAAAACCTTAAAAACAAACATGAAGGCATATATGTCTATGGCCAAAATGAGACCTCCAGGCTCCACAGCCTGCTGCCACCAGGCTTCAAGGCAGGCAGGGTTGGATCCGATCTCTGTGTGTACTGCTGCCGAGGCAACCCACCTTGTACAAATATTTATTGGAAAATGCATAAAAGCAGTACAAGAGGGAAGTTAAGTATTGTCAGAACACATCAAATACCAGCTTAGAAGCACGGTTTGCATCACCAGATGGGCTGTGGCCGTCAGGAGACAAGGAAATGAATGGAGCTGCACACATTCACGGCCGGAGGATCCGTCCCAGGCTGAACCATTTCAGCCGAGCAAAACACAGAAAGGAGTATTGTGGGGGCCCACAGACAGGCCTGGATCAGCTGTCCAGGCAGCTCACTCCCCGTATTACGTTCCTCGCCGCAGACAAAGGCCCGGGTAGGCAGAGCCAGCCGGCGCGGTGCGGCGAGCCTCCCTGGCACCCAGCAGGGACAGAGCCACCCTGCCAGCTGTCCCCTGCGGGGCTACGGGTCACACAGGCACAGCCAAAAGCCCAGAAATTCGGTACGCTTGGTGTGACCGACGAGCCGAAGTGACCTGGGAAGAACAGCCATACCTGGATGTGAAATGCTGCTGCTGAGGCACAACCTCCTACAGACCTCTGGGGTGGAAGAGGGTTTCTCCTCACCTCCCATGCCCACCTCCAGCACAGTCTGCAGCTATTTGTTCCACGGAGGAGCTCTGCAGACAGGGGTTTGTACTCCTGCAGCCACAGCACCTCCTGGTTGCTCTTTCATCCCTGAAATTAACCTTAATAACCACAAAGTGACAGAAAGATGTACTTACAGACAGATATCTGACCAAAAATATACATACGCTCTCAGATACATTAACAGGGTTATTTAGAATAAAAGCGTGTTCCTTCAAAAACAGTGAGAAACAAAACCCACCCGTCTCCCCCCCACACTGGTGGACTCGGGGGGGGGCATGAATCTGGTCCAAAAAGCACTAACTCACCCCATTTCAAGAAATCTGGCACATTTTTGAAAGATAAGTTATTAAAGTTTGTGAAAAGTGTTAGCACAAAGCATTTTTAGGTTTATTTAAATAAAAATTATAATTTATACAAGACTTTTTAAACAAACGAGATTTTCTTAAAAAATGTACAGGGCACATCATTTCATTATTTCAATTCTTCATACAGTATAAGTCTTTTGTCAAACAAAAGTTACACTGATAATGAATTATTTACAACTTCAAAATATAGACTCAAACTTCAGACATAAAAATTTTAACATCCATTATATTTCAATGATTAGTAGAAATTAAACATCTGCCAAAATGTACAGAATTCAATAAAAACTACCAGTGTTTTTAATACAAGTTTAAGTAGCCAAAAAAAAGTACATCCTTTCATCTCTTCACGTCTGGGTAAAATCTCTTTTCTCTTCGTCTGCAGGAACAAGGGTTGGGATTTGCTGCTGGCGTCCTGTGTGATGTCGCTACCAATAAATAGCTTGTTTCATTCAATCTTGCCTCACAAAAGCTACAGCGCATGGAAAGGCATGATTTCATATTTCAGCTTTATTTTTTCCTTTTGAATTTAAACGGTCACCGGTAAAGAATTAAAGCAGTCAGTTTTCATCTCCCTTTTTTTTTTTTTAATCTCTTTAAAAGGGACTCAAACCAACCAACGCACTTCTAAAGAAGTTAAATCTGATTACATGTGAATGATCCAGCAATGAACCACAGACATCAACAGAATTGCAAGTATAAACAGCAAACAGACAGACAGAATGACAAGAACATCACGTTCTGCTATTAGAAAGTAGCACTTTACATGAAGTGGTACGAGCCACAGCCTGTTACTGAAGTAGGACAGGCGATCCTGCAACTCTACCTAAGATGATGGGAATTCAAGGTGAACTTCAGTGTAATGACACAAATCAAGTCTATATTGACTCCCTGTCCATCCCTCGCCCTGAAGGTGCAGCAGGAGGACACGCACAGGAGACCCTGGGAGCAAACACACCGGGGTTTTCTTCTAGTGTCTGGTGTCACCTACACCACAGGAACAGCTCAATAGAGCCGCAACCCGGACAACCCAATGTAAAGTGCACTTTGCTAAGTATGTACACAGATGTTTGTCAGTTATATTACAACTCTATTTTCTTTTTTTTAAAAAAAAGAAACCAGTCTGTTTTCTATATATCAGAATGAAACAATGTTGCATTGCAGTTTGCACTAGGTTTAAGAATTGCTAATTTTTACGTTCACACTCCTAAAAGTGTGGATTTATTTCAAATGCCAAGACATTAGATTTCATAAGAAGTTTCTAATTTGTTTGTCCAGAAAAAGACTATTTTAAGAGCATATTGTACGCATGAGGCATTCCAGTCTGGGAGAAGGGTAATGATTTCTTTTCTCCCTCTCCGAAGGTACGGTTAATGGTCCTGGCACCATCAGCACAGGACCTATAGCTCCTCCAGGATCCAGAATCTAGGACAACCCTATATACCAGGGCCAACCAGTGAAGGGTGGGAGGGGGAGGAGGTAATAAGTGCAAGTCAACTGCTTTCCTACTGAAACTGCTGTCATGATCAGAGTGAAGGTATAAATTACACTTGAAAAATGATACAAAAATAAGAAAAAGAGCATGCTCTTTGTAAAAAATATAGTTTTGTGTTTCTTCAAAAAAAAGGATAACCTTAAACACATCCAAATGATTTTCTTTTTTTTCTTAAGACAAAATGAATGAATCTGATTAAGATTTATATAACATTAAGCGATTTTAATGCCTATTTCTTAGCCACAATAACTATTCAAGGAAGCTTCTGGAAAGGAAAGCCAAATGATAATACACCGCAATTACAAAAGGAGATTCACTGATTTTAAATTAAGTTTGATGAGAAAAAATTAAGATCAAGGATTTTAACACAAACATAAAACCTCCATGTGTGAAGAAACTGTAAACTGTCAAGCTACATCCGTATTACGTGGTGGCAAAATGGATTTCCCACCAGCTTCACTGACATTTGAAGTTTTCAGGCCCTGAGTTACAGCAGCCTCAGGAGGGGTTAGAAACGCACCCCTCTGCAGGTCACGTGAAGACATGTTCAACTGCTACTCTAAAGGGAGAACTCAAAAATAGCACTTTAGCCATTATGGTGGATTCTCCCCCATTCTTGTTCACCTTTCCACTCAGGGCGTAGAGTTTTACCCCACCAGTGTTTCACTTTACAATACCCAACCAAATCATGGTATTCAACAGTATTTCTTCAGATCAAGTTCGTCTCATACCTCTTCTTGGCCAGACTGAAATAAGGTTTGTACAGTTTGACTGCCACCTTCATCACCACTGCTTTTGTTCAGAGATAGTTTTTAATTAAACTGTGCCAAGAGTTAAACACCTTCTGGTGTTTGTCTCCCCTCTCCCTCCTTCATTTTACCCCTTTACTTATAAATAAAGAACATTTCTATTAAAAAAAAAAAAAGAGAAAAAAAATCCATGAAATTAACTCCCACTTTTACATAAGGATTTGCATCTCCACTGCATTTTTTGGGGACATTCATGTAATGTCTGGAGACATCCATACTACTCAACTCAAAAGACCCAGCAAAGGAAAAGACATATTGGAAGGCTTGGCATAACTCCTACTGTGCTTTCATGAAAATGCAAATAAAGTTCTAAACCTCTCAGACGGGTGCTATTATATAGAGTATAAAAGCTTTCTAATATTAAAGACAAAGGTCAATATGTGCTTTGCTGCTAAAAAGGCCTGAGAGAGTTTAGAGAAGGAGCACAGCCTTCCTGTTCTACCTGGCAGTTGGGTTTAATTGTTACTAAAATTTAATTTTGCAAGGGGAAAGACAGCAATATACCAATGCCCCTCAAATTATGCTTTGAAAAGGAACTAGTGCATTCAGCTGCTATATTGTAGTGTTAATTTTATTACAAGGTAACTCCAGACAAAAGCCAATTAAAAAAAAAAAAGTAAATCATGTCCCAGTTTAATTATTCCCACCTCCCCCAACACAAAACGCCTGCAAGTCTTTAATGCATTAACATACAAACACTTTGTACATACATGTACAGTAGTTGAGCCCTTCTATGACAAGTATCTACAGAAATACAAATATACGATGCCTAACATTTTAGGAACATTTTGGTGCCCTCTTTTATAAAAAGTATCTGCCTGCCTTCCTTCCTCTTACTTTGGTTAATTAGGAAAGGAAGATATAGTTACAAACTTTCTCCTCCAATTCACTGTACAAGCAATTTAAATGTCTATGCAGGAAAAACCGAACCTAACCAAACCGGTGAAGTACCCTTCTACAATGCGAGAATTAGCAAGAAGGAGTTATTTTAAATGCAGTTATAAATATGGAAATACTAAAATGATAATACTTCCTTGGTGTTGCTTATCAGTTTTAATAAAGAACCTAATTAAAAACTCTGAGCTGAAGAAAGAGACTTCAGGCTGCTGCAGTCATCGTTCTCTCATCTCGGGGAAAAAGAACTAAGATAAAGGGACAAATGTATCCCTCATGATATCAGTAGAATTAAAGGGATCAGTCTGTTTCACTTCATTATTTAGTCAGTTCTCCAAGTATCTTCCCAGCTTTTAATGTCAGTAAATAAACATTAAAAGTGCTTAATGTGCAAGGCTAATAGTGATGATAGCACTTTGACTGTTTTGTTTCATTTTTTTTTTTTTTTTACAAAAACCTTAAAAACAAACATGAACACTGTTTTGTTTCATTTTTTTTCTTTTTTTTTTTACAAAAACCTTAAAAACAAACATGAAGGCATATATAAAATACACTTGATTTATGTAACAGATAGAATATAAACCACCAGACAAGAAAAATTATTGCAAAATAGATGAGGATGTTCATTTTTTTCACTACCAAATTGTAAAATAAGAAAGTTGCCTTTAGATCTTCTAAGATAAGATACTAGCTCTCACTGCTTGATGATGCAGAGGTTATTTTCACATATTGGTTGAATATTGTCTCAAAAGCTTCATCTCTGTGTACCATGGCACCAAACACCAAAGGCTAAATGACAGAAAAAAAGAACATGTCAGTCTGGAAAAGAAAAATCCTTCTCTACTTGTAGTTTTGGCCAAATCAATAGGAACAGTATTCGAAGTGCATTAATAAAGACATAATTTTTTTCTCTACTAAATCCTTGGATATATGGCAGAGTTTCTAAGATTTTTTTCACTTCTCCATCTTCCTCTTAAAACAACTGTGGCATAAAATGCATCAGCACAGAGTATTAGCAATGGAGAACACTTCACCTCTCTTTCCTCTCCATGGTGCATGATGTGCATGACATTTTCCTGATTGACCTCTGCCTTCATTAAAGATTTCTAAAAATCTTTTTCAGCGCCTCTGCTTCAGGTCATAGAATATTTTTTTTTAGGTAGATGAGCGTTTTCAACCTTGTAATTAAGAAGTACTTCTCAATATTACACAACAGGCAGAAAGCCTGGTACAAGAGTCATGTGACTTGGAGAAAAGTTATTTATAGGCGATTAGTTTAAAATAAGGTTTAGTCATATGTTAAGAAAAGCTTCAGTCGCCCAAAGGGTATTTGAGGCTTAGAGAAGCTTAAACCTTTAGCACCACCAGACTGAAAAAGGAAAACTGCATCTGAGTGTCAGGCCCTTCCACCCCAAAGCCTCCTCACCCACAGATACTCTCAAGCCATCAGCTTCTCATTCCAGAGCATCCCCTGTACTCCTGACCAAGGATGCAGAGGAACAGTCAATGGAGGTAGTGAAATAAAGAAGCAAATCATTCTGAAGTGTTACAGTAAAATAGTCCAGATGCAGCTAAACATCTGGAGCAAGCTAAATGTTTAAAATCCTGAAGCCAAATATACTCAACAATAGACAACTGAATTAAAACAAAACAAAAAACCCCATCCAGCAACCAAACCCCACTGGCATGTGGAAAAAACCCCACCTTTATGTGGCCAGAGAAGGAAGACAAAAAGGGCATGAAGTCAAGCAGAGCAATACAGATACAGCCAGCTACTTACTTTTTGTGTAGATGGTGTTGATACAGCAATACCCATCCCTGATCCCGGGAGAACAGAGAGCACTTTATACTAAAAAGGAAAAACACAGAGCAAAGATACCTTATGTACTGAACAATTGCAAAAGGTGCTGCTAAGGTTACACGACTCGTCACCGCTGTATCCTCCCAGCCACGACCAACAGACCTCTATTAAAACCAAGAAGAGACTAGAGGCTGCTCCTTGACCCCAGAGCCAATGGGTACAGCATTGTCCCTACAGCAAGAACCCGGCCCAACTGGCTGTTCCAGTGAATTACCTTCCTCTACTGACAAAAATCCCTCACGCCTCTAAAGCATCTACTTTTAAGATGGTGCATCTACCGATATCAACACCCAAACTGAAGTCAGCATTACAGATTTCCTAACAATAAATCTTCTCAAAGCCTACACAGCCCTAGTCAACACAGGAGTTAAGAAACAATACTATTTTTAAAATAAATAAGGAGTGTAGGGTTTAGTAAACTACTTTGTTTTTATGCTCATAGTGAGTTTGCTTGTGCTGAATCCAAATGGCTAAACAAGCAGTTCTGGGAAATATACTTGATCAAAGAACTGTATTTTAGTTATAAAAATTATCAATGGTATGCTTTTCAAAATAACACAAGCAGAAAAGCGAAACATGACCAGCTGAACAGAAAACCAGCTTTCTCCCCTATTTGCAACACAAAACAGACATACCTTCTGAATATCCGTTATATCCGTTAGCTTTATAACTTTATTTCTTTTAGATGAGCCGGATTTGGAGCTTTCAAAGCATAAGTAACTGAAGACAAGGAAAGAAAATGCTCATTTTTATAAAGTATCCTAAACCAAAGCTCCTAATATCCCTCCTGTCACATCTGAAGTTTGAAATCCCACAGATTAAAATCAGCTTCAAAAAAAAAAAGATGCACACAATACGCAATTCAGTCATGACTTCTAATTTAAAGCAAACATTCATGAATTCTATCACCTGGCTAATGTGTCTGAAAGCCCAGAAAATACAGTATGCGCACACACACAAAAAATCTTGCATTTATATTACTGCACTGAATGGTTAAACCTGACAAGCATTTTAAAGACATGGGAAGCATGTATATCCTTAAACAGCTGAAATACCAAATCTCAAAAGGCTTATAAATCTTTTACCATCCTAAAAGAAGATTAATGGAAAACACTACGTTAGTTTCATGTTATTGTGATGCAGACAAAAGCTCAGATTTCTAAACTCTGGAGAGTGCTCTCCATCACTAGGTGACACTGCATACAGATGAGTTTTACTTCCATTCATTACACTCCAAAGGAATTTCAGTGCAAGACCCAAACATTAGTGACGATAGTTATCCCACCCTGGGAGGCTGGGGGATAAGTAAGGATTAAAAAAAATAAAAATCAAGTACTAGTTTTGAAACAAAGGCTTGAATTCCAGTTTCCTTTTTGTTGCACATTGTTTCAAAGAAGCAATACATTCAATTTGTTTTAAAAGAAGAAACTAAGAGTATTTGCCAAATAACCATTGATCACAACTCTCAAACACACTTAGCTTTTAGGTTTCTTTTTTAGTATATATTTAGTATGTTATCCACATCAAGAACCAAAGCTACTAACAACTGGCTATATCTGACAACTTTCTATTCAAGCCTTTCCAAAGCAAAATCCCATTTGTTAAGCATTACCACACCCCAGATTCAGCTCTCCCTCTCCTACAGTGCTTTCTTGAGGTTTTAAAGCACCATGAAAAGGCATTTTTGTTTCAAAACATTGTTAAAGGATAACTTTTAGATTCAAATTTTTAAATTTCCGTTGCATTTCCCTGTAAAGAACTGTGTGAAGTGCAATGACTCACTTTTCTGTGACATAGAGAACTCCATTCCTGATGTAGTCTGTAGGCATCTTCCTATCTCTGTTGATCAAGCAACAGCGCCAGCCATTTTCACACACTGAAAAAGTCATAACAAGAAATTTTACTTCAAGAAAAAGAAAGAGACAGGCATCACCCCCAACAGCTTCCTTATAAAACAGCAGAAAACACTGGAAATTAAACTTTAGATACCTAAAACTAGAAGTGTTTACAAAGAAAAGCCTAAATAAGGTGTTTTTAGACATCATAACATCTAACACCAGTTTTTAAAAAACCTGCAACAAAAAACACCCACAAAATTATTCCCTTTAACTTGACTATTCCATTTGCATTACCACAAAAGGCACACCAGGCTGCGCATTCTTTCAAAGAACTGCAAGGACGTGGAATGAAAGAGACTGTCTCCATTCATCCTAATTTAAAGCAAGTCTTTTTAATCAGAAGCTTATACCTGTACATTGAACAGAAAGGGAATTCAACTTTAAACTGTCCTTGGCTTTTGAGAAAATACTCTACCAATGTAGCCTTCCGACTGCATAATACCTGCCAAAGGACGCTCATTTTCCGACAGGTTAAAAACTTCATGGAAATTCCCCCTCTTGGTGGTATGAAAACGACTTGTGTCTTCATCTTTGCTTATGCCAGTTGGCAAGCTTGAGCCCACGTAACTTCTGGATGTTGCTGTTTGAAGCTGCAGAAAAATATAAACACGATTCCAAAATTTGAGCAGCAACATTTAAGCTGCACTCTTAAAAAAAATCCCACTTGGCTAACTATTCTTCTGGAAAAAAAAATCTATAATGCAACAATTTTCATTAACTACTTCAATGAAGTTAACTTTGGACTATTGCTCTATACTATTGCTATAGCACAGAACTCTAATCAGCTACCTGAAGATCATCTTTCAAAGTGCTGCCCTTTAACGGACACCCTTTGCAGGGGGGAAAGCACATGGTGCCAGATGGGCCTATCTTAAAATACGTTTTTCTACAGTATATCTAATTAGATACAGCTAAATCACTGCACACAACTCCAATTATTATACTAGTGGGACTCATAACATTTAATATATTATCAATACTTGGCTTGTCTTCAAGAGACAGACCAAGCACAAAATACTATTGCACAAAAGTTTAGAAAGAAAAAAAGAGTAAACAAAGAAAAAGCCACACAAAACTGTATCAGCTCATTAGTAACACATATGCTGAAATTGAAAGGAAGTTTTCCACGCTACGATCCATACCTTTTCATGCCCTGACAGCTAGCAGGAAAAGAAACAAACAACACAAATGTGACAGTGACAAAAGAAAAAAAGTGAAGTCTATTTAACAGTATAATACATAGAATAAAACATGAACTGAGTGAAGCTGCAAGATCTTGCTCACAAACCAAGAGACTACACACAACGAATGCAATTAAAAAAAGAAGAGTTATCAGTGGTTAGAGCACACCAGTTCAGTTTATTCAGGTTTGCGTTAGAGCCATTGATCTTTCCTTTCCTTTGAAGTTGCACTGAATTTTGACTGTGTTGACACGTGAAATAAAACGGGACTGGCTGTCAGCATCCTTTTGGGGGAGGAGGGCGGGTAAGGTAGCACGCAGTTCTTACAACCAAAGTACTTGAGCAAAACCTACTTTTAAACAGAGCTCCTGGTTCCACTGGAGACTGCCCTAGCAAAGAAGCCTTGCTTCTGGAAGGACGGCAGGCAGTTTCTTTGGGAAAGCTTGCCTGCATTTGGCTTTTTCACCCTGGTGGGGCACCACCCGATTTCCAAAGGCTGGCTTTTGTCATCGAAGCGTAAACAGCTCCGTTCTTACACATGCAGTTAAACAACTGGCAAACTGACAACATGCAAGCTCAGGACTAAGCCCTTCTTCTGTGAAGGCCCGATGCTGTTGGAGGCCAACCAGCCTCCACTGCGTTTTTTTGCTTGTAAGTTGGCAGCACTCGACACTGTGCAGGATTTAGCGCTAACAAAAGCCATCCAAAGCAAATGAAAAAATGCGCACTGCAATCGCTGACCAGAAACCAGACTGACAAAACAGGCACAGCAGAGGGTATTTACCATCCAGCTTTTAGGGTAACTGTAATACAACGATGCCTTGGGGGAAAAGAATAAAGAAAGTTGACTTGGAAAGCAAATGGTTGATGATAACTCTACTATTGCTTCAGTTACTGCCCTTCGCAATGATCAAGCCCCTGGAACCAAGGAAAATAATAGCTTCTCCAACAGTTTTTGTACAGTAGAGATCAGATGCTAAGTCTTGGATGGCTTTCTTGGACAAGTTATTTGGCTCCATATGCACATAACCAGGTGAAGCTCCATGGCGCAAAACATACAAAAGGTTAAGGCAAGAGATCTACAGCTTTTTGCACTGGAATGAGGATCATTCCTGCTCTCTGCTACACTGCTTCATACCTATCCATTATATAAAGAGATTTTCAAAAGGTGTTTAAACTTCAGTACCACATCCCAACTGGTGGCTGAAGATGTGAGAAAGTTCTGCCCTTACTTCTAGTCCTTCCTAACACAGCCAAATGTTTCCTCTACCCTTAGAAGTAGCAGCTAATTTATCCATAACCACCCAGGCTTGACACAATCTGTGGTCGATTACTGCAAGAAAGGCATTGTATCCAACTCTGATAAGCCTTAAATATAACTGGGAGCGACTGGATTTGTAATGCTGGAAGAGTCCTGATGTCCACAAATGTCACCACCAACCTGGAGGTGGGAATACCTCGAGGTATTCCTTTTCACTTGATCTGTCACCAGCTTTTGACATACAACCTTTACCCATCAGATACTGGAGTCAGGATTGTTCTCTAAGGACACGGGGTCAGAGCGGTGGTATAGGCAATGAATATTGCATTGTGTCTAGGTTTACGGTGTCTTGTATGCTGTTTAAAGATAAGAAGCCAAAGCAAATGCACATGTGCCTGCACTACATGCTTTTGGGCTCTGCCTTTTCTATGAAAAAAAAAAAATAATTAAAAAACTATTTGGTTTTTACCTTTTTGTCCATAAAGCTACTTTTCATACTGTGAGGTTCCCTGAAATCTCCCATGGGGTAAGAAAGTGTCTGTGAAGTTATTTATTATTGAGAGCAAGTCAATGTTTTCAAAGACATTTGGAAGCAGATAATGCAGCCCTGCGCATCCTCTCCAGGCAGGCAAGCCAAGCCCGCCAAGTCAGACACAGCAGCACCATAACCCTGGTCTACGTGTCAAAACTTAAGCCATAAAGAAAAGCCAGAAGGCATAATTACTCTTTAAGTTTATGGATTCAAGTTCAGCAATTCAGAGCCTTTCCACCTCTAAGGCAGATTAGCGAGACCCAGCAGAAAGCTGCCACCACCACCGCAGAATGTGAATGATAACCTGTAAGCTCCAGAGGCACAGAAACTTTTAAGCCCGTCTTCTGCAAGCAAGAGAAATACAGGCTATGGATGGCTCTGTCCAATCGCTCATTCGCCTTTCTTGTCCCTTGGAAAATAGGAGCAAAAGACTCACATTCAGTCAGAGATTGTCTTTCTCTTCTACTTCCTTCTGAAATACTCAAATGATGATGCAGTTATCATTTTGCCACCGACTGCTCCATCTCTCCCGGAATCCTGCATTTCTTCTTCTTCTTTATGACAGGTTAACAACTGAGGGTGCACATGTTTATCCCTCCTGCTCTCAAGTTGTGTACCCAGGCCAAATTATTGCTAGTTTTAGTCAGGGAGTTTATGACAGTGCTCAGATACACCATGAATGCCATGAGATTGTGGCATTGTGATAGGGTATCTCCATTGTGATAGGAGACATTAAGTGAATGCCAAAATGGGATTAGACTTAAGTTTTATTACTGCTATTTTTTTAACTAATAACCATTGCCAAATTCAGGGATATGGAAAAGCATAATTTGCTTTTCAGTGATCATGTCAAGCCCCAAAACAACGTGCAAGGATGCACAAAATACAACTCTTAGAGTTTTAACTGTGAGATTTTAAGAAAAGAAAAATTTACTGTTGCAATACCAGCATGGTGAAAAGTCATTTATGATCACTACACTAAAAGGTCACCTAATACAAATAACCATAAGACATAATGCCTACATCTGTAAACTACCTTATTACCTCTGTTAATGCTTATCCCCTTAGTAAGCTGCATATTACACTCACACCTTTTTTAGTTATTTTTTTAACTAACTGTTCGTCAATCTCAACAAGCATCTCAATTTCCACTGAAAAAGAAGTCTGAGAATAGAGAAGGGGAATACCAAAAGAGTAAATTTTGACAATAAAATAACACAGAATGTATGCTACAGAAATTGATATGAAAACGGATGGCATTATTTTTGTGTGTTCAGCTTCATAAGATTTCCAGTATTTGTATACATATTTATATACACGTTTTGATAACAGATTCCTTTCATACAAGAAACAGGATCCATATAAAAATTCTGTGGATCTTGAAAATAATAAAGAAGTAGAACTGACATTGACTGTTAGGATTTAATTAACCTTCCCTTTTAATGTGCTCTAGTCACTGGAGAAAAGGGAAAGGGAGAAAGAGATCTGATTTTCAGATGTTGGGAACAGAGGGACAAAAAGATTTATTACCCTTACCCGTCTCGACACTGTAGCATTAGACCTTTCTTTGAGCTGAGGATCTGTCGGGAGACTTGTCCAGATGATATAAGGAGTATCATACTTAGCTCTTAGTCTGGGGCATCGTTTGAAGATAAAATCAATAAGGAAAAACTTGATTCCAGCATAGAGTCCTGAAAAAACAATCACTTTAGTAGGCATGTTGAAGGATCGTTAAGAACATCACCATTTTGATCATGTTTTAACAAGTTCACGAATGAAACCAAATTCTGTATCTTCATAGTGCTAAAACATTCTCTTGGTTTTAATATTTTGATTCTTCTTCCAAAGACAGGGAATTACTTTTCTTTTCCTCTCCTGCCCAGATTCCTTCTTCCCCATCCCCAGTTGTTTTGAACCACTTACATAGCTTCTTATTATGCAGGAGAACATTAAAATAATTCAAACATACATTCCATATTACCAGAAGCATTCTGAAAACATTACATACTTCCAAAACAGAACACATGCCAGAGCATTCAACTCTGCAGCTCCTTGCAAGAATTTAAATGGCAACAGAGGGCTCTCACGTACTACATTAGACTCTGGCTTCCAATCCAGTATGTCTTCTTATGTCTTACACAAGATATTTCCTTGCATTCTGACAAATTAAAAAGGGCTTGAAATACTCTCTCAAAACTTTAGTGAATGCAATTCAGATCTCCTTCTAAGAGTCGCAGTAAAAAAAATAATTCCTCATGCATCTAACTCAATTGCCATGCTAAGCTCACCTGCATTTATGTTCAAGCTACCATAATTTGAAGTTCAGTGCCACTAAAAGTAATCATATCACTACTTTAACAGAAAAAAAAGAGAATTCTTGGTTCACAGGATGTCGCTTTATATCTTAGAGAAAAGATACTCTCATGCTGTAGCAAGAACCCTCTTCCCAATTCCCAGTTGAAGCTTTTGTAACTTCACCCGCAGGAATCTGTTAATTTTGTCCAGTTTATCCTCCAAGTTTTACAAGTAATCCCATTAACCCTTTCATTTTTTTCAAACCCTGCCATCTTCACACCTTCTATGTGATCCCACATATTTAATTTGCAAGGATGCATGAGCAAAAAAAACCCCCAAAATACAGGATTTCCCAGAAGCCTTACAGCTGACAGTCTGAAGAGCTCTGCTAATAGCTCATCATAAACTTGTCCCCTGCAAGGAGGGAATGCATTATCCAGTCTTCTTCTACTATATTATGTATCCAGAGATGGTTTTCAAAATGAACACGACAAACAATATCAAGCACAATGAAAATGCTTTGAAACACTACATTATTTATTAATGCAGGGTTTTCTTTCTTAAACTCTGAAATTCTCCCTCTAAAGATCACGTGAAGTTTTAACACATTAAGTCTAGACTGTAGCAGGTCAATTATTTATTGTGTTTACCCATTGCAAGCCCAATAATCCTGTAGGGCAAAAAGCAGGATGCAATAAAAGCTGCCCATAGGGCAATGTAGAGCTTCTGTGTTATTTCTGGCTGGACCCACATGAACAAGCTGAAAACAAACAAAATGAAACAAAATTTTATTATTAGTGTTCCAGACATTGGTCAAGTCTTGTTTAAGAAGAAAAAAAGACTCACGTCAGATAACTTACTTTTTAATTTTTTCCAGTATGTCTGCCATCTTGCCAAAAAGGTTCTGCATAAGAAGCAAGAGCATTAAAACCATGTCCTGCATTATTTTGTGTTTTTTTATCCACATAAGAGAACAGAGTTGTCCTACTGAATAAGCAATTCCTATAAGTGATTTTTTCAACTCATTTTTAGCCATTTATGTACTTCACAATTGAGTAAATTCAGAAAAGAATAGCAATACTTGATGACTTCCATCTAACACCTTGTTCTGTAACTCATGAGTGATTGTTAGAAGTGAAGAAGCTATTTGACCTCACTATCACGACTGGAAAGTGTTTACATCACTGCAAAATGTTTAAATTAAGCTGCAAATCTAAAAGTTAAGAGCTTCTGTCAGTAAGCAATGAAATGAGAAGTTTCTTCACACATTCTGAGTACTGAAATTTCAGGAAACGTTACTGAGTTCATGAAGCGTTGGACTGTTAGTTTCTCTGGAAGCACACCACTACCTGTTTTTATGATACAACTGTGGAGTTACTAGACTCCACATAATTCCAACAACTGTTGATACAAACTGATCCCTGCCCAGAACTAAGATGGTTATTCAGCCATCTTCTCTAACCAATTCTTGCTGCCTCAGCACCTGTAAATTTCATCTTCCCAGCAGATTTCCAAAGGTGCTCATATAAACACACACACCACCACCAGCAGGAGGGAGAGGGGCCTACACAGTTGGCAAGAGAAAGGTAAGATACTTCAGCAGCAGGACATCATTACACATGGCACAAGGCCATGTTTAGCTGGATGGTGGGGTCCCTCAGCTTCTAGGGTAGCTCACCAAACTGATGGAGCTGGGAGAAAACCTTCCTTCCTTCACACTCTCCCACACAACCAGTAGATTTCAGGGCTGGGGTGGTTGGGGTGGTGTTTAAAACAGGCTGTTTCAGAGATGCTGTACAAACTGTTGCATTAACACACCTAAACAGACAGTAGCCTTCTGCAAAATCTTGAAGGAATACATTTTGCGACCAGAAGATTTGAGATATGGATCCACACTCCAGTACATTGGTAAGATTTGCCATCTCATCTACATTATCAGAAGCTCATACACATAAATTTGGGGAAAAACTGTCAGAAGCTGTTTCTGTTTCCCTCCAGACCTCTCTCAGAGCCACGAACAGAGAACCTCAACCAGTTCTCTGAAGCATCGTGCTATTTCAGAAGCTCCAGGGATCTTACTGAGATCTCTACTGCTCGTAGGTAAAGATTCCTCCACAAGAGAAGTATTGCGTGTTTGAGTGTTTGTTTTCACATGGTGCATAACAACGTCCTTTGACCACTTGGATTATGAACCTCCTTGTTTCTAAGGAAGCAGCTGGAGAGGTCCGAGAGCAGCACAGTACCTGCGCCTTCTGAGCCACGTCTAGAACAAGCTGAAACTTTTCAGACACGGTCAGGTCCTCTTTTGGGGGTTCCTTGGACAAGAAAGAGACAATCCATTAATTTAAAGCTCAGCTGAAGCTGAAAGTTTTACAAAACTCCTCATGACAATGTGACCCCTCAACATTCTTGGCAATAGTCCTCACACTTTAAACAGTCTCTACATCTGCCAAGTTCCTCCTTTGTTTCAGATCTACTGTTAATGCTTTCATTGCTGGTTGTCTTTAGTCCTTGATGCTTTTCCCTCATGGTATATGCAAACATGTTAATATGAGGCTATGAAAGACAGTCAGTCTTTGGAGCAGCGCAGTTACAATGGCTTTCAGTTTACGACCAAATGCTTAAACTGACCTATTTCTGATTTAGTACAGAAATGCCATTTTTGTTAGACTTTTTTCATCTTGAACTTTTAAATTTATTTATAAATAGATTATTGACCTTTTAAGATTAACAAAATTATTCTGAAAGCAAGGCCTCAGTAAGTCTTAGTGAAAGGTCTGAAATTCCAAGAGCTCCATCTTACATTAACACTTACAATCCTTCCTACTTAAAGCAGGGTATGGAAACATTAATTTCAAAGTGTTACAAAGAAAACAGAATGCAAGGCTTATTGAAGATCCCATAGGATCTAACATGTCCCAAGTTGGCATATTAACATTGATTCCAGAAATGTGATTCAAGTTTGGAGTATTTTAGGGTGAAACACCCAAAACTAAGAGTGTTGTTAGTAAACATTTCCAAATCGCAAGAGAAAGAAAGAAATTGTAGTGTTTTTGTTTGCACCTCACTCTTCCTTCCTTTCACAACTACCCATGTAAACACAGAAGAAAGTTTTGAAGGTGCAACTTTAAATGTAGGCACACAGGCCAAGCCGATCAAAGACCTACCACGGGTTCGGAAACTTCAGGCACAATGCTCCACTGTATTCTCCAACCCCTAGAAGTTATGGAAATAGTTAAAGAGAGCAAGTACTTCTTCTCCACCTGCCAACATGGACTTTTTGTAAGAGGTTACAAAGTAGGTTTCTACAATAAGCGCTTATGGCTTAAAAAAATAATAAAATAATCCCCAAATCAACAAAAACCCACAATACAACAAAAGCACAAATGGCCAACCATAGACAGCTTTAAAGGTATATACATTAAAAATAAAATAAAATAGCTAGGTAGATACTACAGAGTCACCAATGCGGGTTTTACAACAAACTTGAACTCTGTGCACAGAGTTAATAATTAAGAATATTTTTTCCTGTTTGCCTATTTGCTTCCAGCAATTTTCAATGAATAGTATCAGACAGTAGGTATCAATTAAGAAGTCAGAAAATAATTTTAAAATATGCACATTAATGTCCTCTGCACCATTTTAAGGAGGAAAACACCATCAGCCTACAAATAGCATTTTAAGAAGATCCTCTCAGTTCAGATTACGTACGTTTTAAAAAAAAAAAAGTCTTAATTTTTAAAAGAGACTGAATTTACAAATGGAAGATACATTGGATAAAGTATGCCAAGAGCTGACACAAAAGGAAAAACTGCAATTTTAGGCCTAGGTGAAAATTCTCCCCAGGGAAAGGCAGCAGGCTTCAGTATTTAAGGTGACATTCTCCAACCATCCCGAATGCTGCAGAATTTTATTTTAGAACTTTAACATGCTGAGGGATTTCTCTGAGAACATGAAGCATCATTTATGATGATCCAGGTCACAGGATACGAAGATAATTCATTAGAATACTCAAGAATTAGAGAAATTGAGTAATGAAATTCAGAATATTAGAGTTTGAGTGTCAGTTTGCTAGACTTAACTCACAACATTAGAAAAGGTAATAGTTTACAACTCAATGCAAGAATAATAAAACATCTTTCAAGCAAAGCATTACAAGAGAATAATCTAGTATTTAAGTAAATACCTGGCTATGAGGTAATTTAGGGACAACCTCAAAATTGCTAAAAATAAGAACATAGGAATGGCCCAGCCATGCCATACAGCATTCATGTAAATCTGCAGATTAAGAAAAAAAAAAAAAAAAAAAAAAAAAAGAGATGTGGATTACAAACTGAGGTACACTGAGCTGCATGAAATACTGTTGCCCGTTGTAATGTTGGGCTCAAAATCATACAATTCAGATCACAAAAATTAATACATTTTAGCTACCCCATCACAACAGCACTGCATTAACTAGTTCTCAGCTGCTTGAGATAGATTATTATTTCCAACACTGCAATTACATAAAGGGTTAGGGGAATAAAAAGTAAATCTTAAAGTCTGTGAATCTGCTTTGTGGCCATGATACGGTCTATCCTCACCTTGGGCAGCTGAAGAAACGGTGCAATAGAAGAGTTATAACAATTAGCCCCATACAGGGCAACAGGATAAACTTTTGCTCTATTATTTCAGGTCAACTAAATTCCAATTTTTTACCAAGCTTAAAAAGATTGCAGGAAAACAGGTTTTATTTTACCTAACAAGTACAAACCCAAAGTGCTTCAAAAATTATTCTGTCTCTATCCCAGCTTCTGAAAATACAGAAGCTCCAGCCTTCCTGCCGAGGCTTTTTTACTGATAACCCCAAAACGAAGCACAGCTCCAGCTTCAAGGTCCCAGGACTTTCTGAGCAACAGCTGAAGTTCCTTCTTTCATCTTATATCTTAAGAACCGGTTTGTCAGGAGAGCCGAGAGAAAAATCAGTAGATTAGGACACAGAGGACACAAGGAGGGGGAAGTCTCCTCCTCAAAATTCCTTCAGCTGTGTCGTGCAAAGAAGGCTCTATTATTTACAGGGAGGGATCGTTTAACGAAAAGGTGTCTGATATTTCACCAAACCAGCTACAACTACTGGTAATCATTTTCTTCAATATCAAAATATTTCATATACACTGTGACCAAAAGTATTTAGATAATTTAATTCACAATTAGAAGGAAAACGGATCAAAACAGCTAAATAGTTATGTCCCTTTATGTCATACAAACTTCTTTACATAGCATATGAATACTTGAATTTAGGTCACAGAACCCCTGCTTGCACGTTAAACGATACCCAAATTAAGGCATTTTGTCTCTCATCAATAAGTGTGATCCTAACGAATGGAAAGGAGCACTGATGGTGAATGACAGCTTCTCATCAAACAGAGCCCCTGTCACCATTTCAGCCCTAAGCATTGAGAGATTTTACAGAGACTGTAGTAACCATCAAATTACAGACTGGGAGACAGGAAACAAGAACTGAGAGAACAACGCCCAGATCGTTCTAAGTTAGTTTAACAGTTAGAGAACTATGCTACAATAAACCCAGAATACACAATTGAAGTAGCTTTGAAATATAACTGAAGTGACAACTACTGGCGTTTTGTGTTAAATGGAATTACACTGTTTGATTTGACTTAAACTGCAGCAAAACCCCTACTCAGTTATGGCAGTTTCAACGAATTTCAGTAAATACTGCATTCTAAACCTTCTTACTGCTCCTGGGGGAATAGAATAACTTACAATAAAGGCAATAGCAGAAGTGTAGATAGAATACCAGTCTGATAAGGCAGAAAGATTCTTCACAAAATTAGTAACAGGTTTGGCACCTCTCTCTAAACAGAAGCAGAGAAAAACAAAACTGTTAGAAATAGCTGGCAGTGGTTAAATCACTTGTAAATGACAACCAAATTAGAAAATTAATAGGCATATTCAAGACGTGTATAGATAAAAAGGCTTATCCAAATTAAGAAAAACAAAACCCATCAATGTAACTGAATGACTTGGCCTCAGCCCATCGATCCAGCCTGTCCAGATCCCCCTGTAGAGCCTTCCTACCCCCAAGCAGGACACTCCCACCCACTTGGTGTTGTCTGCAAACTTACTGAGGGTCTGCTTGATCCCCTCATGAGGGTCACTGATAAAGATGTTAAACGGACCCAGTACCGAGCCCTGGGGAACACCACTTGCGACCGGCCGCCAACTGGATTGAACTCCATTCAACACCCCCTCTAAGCTTTTTATCCACGTGGGCAAACTAGCGGGGGGACACAAGAAATCAGGAGAGGGCTGCTGCAAGACCTTTGCTTGCTCTGTTGGAACACACATGGGCTTTGCCTTCCCTGCTGAGAAGAGAGACGACTCCACTTGCACAGAGGGCCCCAGGAGTACCCATCCTCGTCTGCAGTGCAGCCCACAACTTTCAAAGGCTCTCCCCTCAAGAGATCCTGTGACTTGCTGTCCTAGTTTGTTTGGCTTGAAATTCAGCTATCCTTGATACAATCCCTATGGGAAGTGATTAAACAACTAGGACTAGATTTCCTTGAGCATCAGCAGTGTGACAAAAGCAGCAGATGAAGTAAGTAGAAGGGCACGCTTGGGGCACTGGAGGAGGTCACAGACTCGGGCATGGCTCCACCATCCTGCACTGAACCTGCAGAGAAGCTCAACACCTGGAAACTGCTGGTGACAACAGGGATCTTGAAAGCAACCAAGGGTCCGAGGGCTCTGAATGGGTCCTCAGGCACCCCTGGACAACAGGGATCTAGATTTTGTGGCTCAGTGAGTGGACCCAAACCTTAAACTTAATATTGCATTTTTTTAAAGCTATTCTGAAGGCAATGAACATCCACCACAGAGAATAGGTCACAAGTATTCTCCCAAATGAAAATATATATAAAGAAAATTAATATCAGCATTAGAATAAGGAGAACAAAACTGACCTTACATGGAGATTACAGACCCTTACTTCAACTTCACCTTCCCCCCTACAATAATTTAACAATTTGAAGCACAAATCAGGCTAGCAATTCTTGGCTGCACAGAACTTTTGGAGAGCTTAACCCACCATCTTGCATCCTCCACCTTCTAAAATAATTTACCAGCTATCCAAATGCAAGACACACTCGGGGTATGCATCATCCAACCCCTCCTTCTTTGAAAGCATAAGCTAATGGACTAGCAAGTGAACTGTAAGCAGCTCAGGCATAAGTGTATGAACACTTACTTTTGCCATTGGAAAAATACTCTGTTCTCATTCATTACATGTTTACACATTTCAATTAACATGACATTTTTAGTTCAAAGATACTGTATGTAATTCAAGATTAAAGGCAAGCTTCTACCGCTGCTCCTCTAAGTTACTTTGCACTCTAAACACTAATTCAGGATTTCAGAATCATTTCTGCTTATGGACTGATGGAAGTATTTCAAAACACTGCATTTCAAAATCTAGAAATCCTCCTGAAAGAGTTACTAAGAACTATTTTTTCTTTCAGAAAACAAAATACTGCTAAGTACTTACTTAATCTTCTCATATTTTCAGTCAACCTGAAAATTAATGGGATAAAAACAGCTTGTTAAATAGGCAAGTAATGCTCAGTTGTGTACATTTGGTCCCTGAAACACCGCTCACAGCTACAAATTAGATGTTTGTGCATAAAGCTACAGTCTTGCCCGTTATGAAACGTGTTTCCAGTAACTAATAAAGCCTACTTTGCATCAGACCAAAAACTGAAATGCAAAAGCTCCCCAGCCTAACCAAGACTTTGTCCACAGTTTTTGAGAGGCATATGACACAACCTGGTAAATAATACAATTCTTATTCCACCTCAGACAGCAGACAAACTTCAGATTTTGTGTTTTGGCTGAAACATTCGCAAACCTTTTGAGATGGCCCCGTACTTTCATTTTTACTATTTCTAATGCAAACACTTGCTCGAACCATGTAAAAGGTCATTAAAAAAAAGAGGGGAAAAAAGAAACTTGTAAAGAAGCCAACAATTTCTTACAATGACATTCGAGATTTACCTTCTAGCACTAAGTGGCTCTTCTGTTTCCACTGTGTTCTCTTCTGGCTGAAATCTGAAGTCCTCAACATACTCCCCAAATTTGTCAAAAAACCACTTCTGGACTCTCGAACAGACTGTGTGACTTCGCTTATCTATAAAAAAGCAGCACTAAGTATCAGGGTAATACTAGAAGACAACTTCATACAAAGCCTGCCCCTGTTCCCACATGACACGCTTCGTTGGGAAGCAGACTTTGTACGACCTTCCTGGCCTTCACCAGAAATTCTTCACGGAAACTCACTGTGCAGTTTCCTTCTGCACAGAAACCCTGACTGCACTAAGGCTGGTAAAATAAGACTAAAGGTGACTCCTGCTTTGCTCTAAGTACAGCACAGGGAAGTATCCTATTACCAAAAGTAGAGAGATTACTTAAACATCCTAACAAACGAGAATTTTTAGCAAACGCTGTAAAAACATTTTCTGGTCAAGAGGTTCCTGTAAACAAAAGACTGATGTAAATCTCTGCGTTCCTATTGTGCTGAGGGGTCACCTCGAGAAAAGCAAGTGCAAAGCAAAACACTCCTGAGCAGAGAGCAGGACAACCAACTCGCAGACACGTGAATTTGACAGGAAACTTTAGCAAGATTCTGCAGGAGGCATTTTTACTACCACTTTCCAACCATTTACAGCCTGTAAACGGTCTGTGTGTGTGTGTATATGCCACCTTCTATATATGGAATATAGAGTCATAACACTGCCTGGAAAGTCTTATATGGCAAAGTAATGAAGTGATGCACACTTTCTCTATGTCTGTTTCAGTGGAAAAACATAACATAAATAGACGGGTATATGGAAATAATATGAGGGTAAAAGCCTTAAGGTAGTGCAAGTGAGAACAAAACAATCTCCTTTTGCTTTACCTGTAGCTCAGAAAATCACTGTCTAGAAGGAATAAATAATGAGACTACTCTTTGGAAAGGTAGGTTAACGCAGCAATGTCACAAAGAGGACACTGGTCACAAGTATTCCAGGACCAAACTTGGAACAGAACTCCATAAAATTAAGATACGATTAAACAGAGGCATGAAAGATTTATCAGCCAACCACAACAGTCAAAATTATGCTTTTAAGTGTGCGAGAAAAAATAACCAGTGCAAACAGGATCAAACTATTTATTAATGTATGAGTGGTATCTAGAAAAAACGAGAAATTTAGTGACAGTTCACAGCTGAGAGAACACTTGCACTTGAAAATAAAAAAATATGAAGTAGCTTCCCACATGCTAATAATTCAGATAGTACTCAGAAAGAAATTTTGAGTGTATAAGACCAAAAAATGGCAGGTTATAGTTCACATAACAGATAGCATTGACATAATGGAGCACAGGAGGAGCAACTTCAAATTTAATCTGCAGATTTAAAAGCCTAAGTGGTGAGGAAAGCTTAAGTGTACTGAAAGACTGAGAATCTGAGAATCTGCCTTAGTTCTTTCAGAAATACTATATTATTGAATTCATAATAAGCAGCATCTTGAGCAATGTAGACGCCGCTGTAGGTGTCCAAAAAATGAGTAACTCTTAAGCTTCTTCCTTCTCCAGAATGTTTTTTCTTTTAGGAAGCAGAAGTAGGAATACGGTTAATGGCATAAAAGCTTTTACATTTGAAAACAAAATAGAACATCATTTCTATGTATTACACCTCTTTCCTGGTAAGTCAAAGATCAGCAAGGCATGCAAGAACGATGAAGTCAGACAACAGGTTTCATTGCAATCCTAAAAGCTTTAAAACACACAATGAATTCCTTGCTCCTGTGCGCAAAGCCAGCTACACGAAGTAAATGCAGAATCATGCACAGAGAGGCAAGAAGCCGCTCAAACGGCCTTTCATATTCGGCTTCTTCAGAAGCCTGCTTAAGGACCCGGCCAGTTCTTCAGCAAGGTTTGATCTTCTAAGGATCAAAAGAACGGGGTGAAAAAACCCCAACTGATTGAAACTGCTAGTAGAGATGTGACCAAGATTACCTGTTCCGTTGGCTTGCGTCTGTGGCTTTGCAGGTTGCTGAGCTGCAGGCACCTCTTCCGTCCTACAAAGAAAACAGAAATGATGTGAAATGCTACAGATGGAATAATTTTTTCCCCTTTTAGGTAAAGAAAGCACTGGAACTTCTGGGGTTTCCATAGCTGAGATAACACAAGACAGCAAGGAAAACCAAAGCAACTTATGCTGTTTCACCAAGATTCAAAATATTCACCGCACGTTGCACTTTGGATCCAGGGAACCACCATCCCCTGGAAAGAGAGGTGTGCTTTAGCCATTTCCTGTCACCAACAACTCAATTTCATCTTAACAACTACTAAATAATTTAGTATCAAATTTGTTGCATTACTTATGCCTTTGTGCTGTATATTCAATGCAATGCTGGCCAGGAAAACTCTTCAGAGCCCCGACTTTTCCCACAGGGATAAATGAAAAGGGATTCCGCATCGCACGTTGGTAACCACAGTACTAGAACAAAACCACAGCTTAATGCATGAACCTTGAATCCTCCCATCATTATCGGAGCCAAACACCACTCATCTTCACAATGAGAGGAACAGGCATCAAGAATTATTTTAAATGTTATGTTATAAGCTCCTGAAATGCACAGATACCAACCAATTTTAAAAATATCTTTTTAAAAACTTGCAAAACTGAAATAACCGTCTGAAAAACTGAAACAAAAATGTTCTAAAAAGACACGGTAAGTTGCAGGCATTATTGATCTCATCTTTCAAAATGAGTCAAGAATAATATTCTCATCTATTAAAAGTGAACAGATTTTGGAAAACACAAATCCTTTCGCCATTCTGCACATGTGCAAGGCTCCAAATTACATTTGCACTATCCTCAGCCTCAAACTGCCAACCTGTCTTGAGAATACTTCAGGCTTCAGTCCAAAAGTCTTCAGCCATCCGTGCAGATATCCTACAGAAAGATTTTTTTTCTAATGAAGCAGAAGCTTTGGCAACATGACACCAGACGCAGCAAGCTTTACTTGACAGGGAGTTGTACAATTGAAAAGGTTACTGCTTAAAACAAAAATGTGTTGGTTGTTCAATTTCATTATCACTCATTTATTAGATAATATAAGTGATTTCAAATGTTCCCTTCATCTTTTGCTCCAGGGGAAGGGAACCAAGTGGGATGCCGGTCAGCGAGAAGAGGGATCTCACTGTACTGGACAGACTGCAGCAACATAGATGGGTATAAAGCTCTCTCTCCTGCTGTTCCTCTAGAAAGTACATTAGGGAAAGATCTCACTGTACTGTCTGCCCATGGAAAAGGTCATTACTAATGTGTGCCGTCTCAACATCAGCATACATCAACGAGTGTGATGGAGAAATTACAGAACTAATTACCTCCCTTCGTTCCTAAGCACTCCCCATATTTAATGAGCTCTCTACATCCTTGCTCATTTCTAAAAGACATTTAGAAATAATTTAATTATTTATAAATTATAACTGGACATCTATCTGTGTGGAGAAGCTGAATTCAAAGCTTTCTGCTTTCAAAGCTACTTGTTTTCCCACCTCTTCAGGACTTTTCCACGCAACTTCTGTATTTGAAGCAACTCTTCTTTTCAAAAGCTGCCGGAAATTCCACCAGTTTATTTTGTTCTAGCTAAACTTTGACTTAGGTTCCTGCGCTGTTTTTCCAAAGTTTTTACACAAACCACCAGTTCCCCATCTAAAACCTCCTCCTCTCCTTGCTCTTTTCCCCACATCCTTTCATCTCCTCCATTTCAGGCATCACCTCTCTTCTAAAGACAGAGAGCCATTAATGCAATTAAGTTTGCACCAACTATTACGCAGCAGGTTCTTGTTTTCCTCTATCAGCACATCAGACAGTTACACCAAAAAAGGTGGGCATTTTCATCCGCAATCTGTCACTGTGTGTCACTGAAACTGAAGACACATTTAAGTGGAAAGGAGACAGTAATTCACAAGCAGGTTCACACAGGCGGGAGCCACTTACTCAACCTGCTCCAGTCGTGCAAAGTCACCGGGGTGGGCGTCACACCTGAACAGCTCCAGTGACAGAGCCAAGATGGGATCCCACCACCGCCAGCGCCTTCAGGTTGGGTCTTCCTTTCACATGCTGAGATATATTTTCAGAAGCAGCACAGCGTCATTACTCCCCATGTTTCTCGGGAAAAAATCCAAAAAATCTCATCAAGAAGCAGTTTTGGATGGCAGCCTCACTGGGCTCCATCAGGATCACATGATGGTTTGGCTTTGGCCTTTCTTGGTGCTTTGTTGTTTCCTTTTTTTGGCAATGTTTTACTTGCCATCTGCCTGTTACTCCTTCCCCGTGAAGAGCCTGACCTTTACGAATCATCAGGTTAATGACAGCTCATTACTGCACCTGTGAATCAGGTTATAATTAGCCACTTTAGACAGATTTGGGCCAGGAAGCTCAGAATTCATTGTTTAGGCTTGCACACCCACTGGGAAGCTCAATCCCAAAACCAGGTCATGTTGAACCAGCCAGCACATCGAGACCACTGACGGAGAGGAGGAATTATCTTTCCTACAGCTTCTGAACCTCTCCTCATGCCGGGGATCAGCTAAAAGGCTGGAAAACATAAATAGTCCCCGGAACAACGCAAAAGGCTGTGTTTTTATGGGGGCTTCCTAACTGCAGCCTGCACGACAGAAAACACACTGCATGAACTCCTCTGGTACCACACTTTCCACCCAGAGAGCAGGGTGTGATTGGTAACACCAACAGATCCCCATCCCGAGGCTCAGTCACGTTTATGCAACTGAAGATTGCACCCATTTCAAAGCACAGGTTGATTAAAACAGATAAAAGCAGCTACAGCCAATGGATAAGACAAATATAAATATGCCAAATCTTATTTATTTTTTCAATATATACCCAAGTCAAGGAAGCAATACTGCTAGAGCTGCTCATGACTAACAGACGTGCAGCATTCAAAAATGCCCAGCAGACACTGATGCAGTGTCCACTCGATGCTGCCCCTCAGAGTAGCACCAAGGCATTATTTTTGTAGCTGCAAGTATGACACAAAAGTTAAAGCAGCCTTGACACTGGAGGCCATTTATCTTAACTAATCATTTTGGTTTTGTGCATCTTTGGCCTCGAACGTGGTTGCAAGCTGAGGCATATGTGAATCAACAGACTCTCCCCAGCAACTGTGTGAAGACCAGACCTGCTGCACACAAACAGGTTCAGTCGCTGCTGGGACGTTCTCAAATGTATTAAAAGCAATTTTCCCACAGGCTGACTTGAGTACTGAGTTCACAAGCAAGCCATCATCACTCTTTTGACAGCTGTGGTGGAAGCCAGTCAAGGCTGTTCTCTCTTTTTTTACTGCTCAAAGCAACGTGAATGTGTATGCACTTCCATCAAAAGCACTTCACAACCTCAGAACTACAAAAATAAGCATAAAGGAGGTATTTCACAGCCAGGTTTAAAGACTAATCACTTGAGTATACATGGCTTCTTAGCCTGAGGAGCTGTCAGAACACCGAGTTAAAACATTTTCATATGTTTTGCATCTCCTTTCCATTAAAACACACTGAAGGTTTCGGAAGCCTTTGTCCTCCTCACCAGATACTCCCACATTTTACATGGCTAGTGTCCTAAACTGGTAGTTTCAGAAACAAAAGACAAGGTTTCAGAAGAAATACTCTCAACTTGTAGTTGTACAAGATCTAAATGTTCATGGGCAGAAAATAAAATAGTTTAAAATTTAACTCCTGGCAGAAGCTACTTTACAAGCAGCAGCCTGTCACCAGATCTACTAAGTTAAAAATAAAGGCAGGCACCAAGTTGAGCCAATGGGGTACTTCAGCAATCCCGTATGGATGTCTGCGATCCCAGCACAGCAGCCAGGAGAGAAACTTTCAACCCAGGTTCTTGCTACCTGTGTGGAGTCCCAGCCTGATGGGGACCCTTCCAGGTAGGAATGCTTCCAGCCTCCTGGAGAGCAATCTCAAGCTGAGGCACCTTCTCTAGAGACAAAGTCAGCCATACCCAAAACATCGCTTGTGTGGAAGATGGTATCATTCAACAAGAGGCCAAGAAGAGTTAACCAAGATAAGTGGTACAGAAGCAATAGTGGCTTATGCAGAAGCATTGTCTATTTTCTCCTCTTAAAAATAGCTCACAATGATACTAATAAAAAGGTTTGTATAAGCCACAGCTTGTTGGTAGGTGTTGCACAGCTCCTTTTTTTTGTTGTTTTGGTTTGGATTGTGGGGTTTTTTTCTGTGTGATGGAGCTAGCTCACAATTTGTAAAATAAGGCAGCAACAAGCCCACAAGTTACCCTAAACAAGCATTGCTCACACAGACTATTCCAAATTATTTATGCATTGTTCCACTAGCAAAATGTCATAAGCTTCAGCTGTTGTTCCAAATGCTGAGCTGTCCCAAAGTGCGTCTGTGGAAAACTTCAGCTGAGGCCACTGTGTTTCTGAATACTCAGACACACAGACAACGAACACCATGACAAATTAAATCACTGAGCATCCTCCAACAACTCGTCCCTCCAAACAATTCAATGAAAGACAACCATGGTCTTTGAATTAATTTTGTTTTTTTAAATCTACATTGTTAGCTCATTGTTTTCTCCTTGCTGAACACTTTGCAGCATGTATTTATATAGCTGCATGTATTGATATGCTGCACAAATGCTTTTGAATACTGCAGCTATTAAAATAATTTTTTCCTTATTACACCACAGCACGGTTTGGTTTTCATTACTAGTTTGCTTCTGTAAGCGAAGAGTACATGCAAACATGTTTCTATGCATATCTACTTAAAGATTATATGAAAAATTACCTAACTGGGAAGCAGGGCAAATTTGGTTTTGTTGACAGAAGCAGAGACGACTTTCTGTGGTTAATTTGTTTAATAAAATTAAGTTTCTATCAGGCATAAATTTGGCCTATTACGTATTTGATTGTGCCAGACAAGACTTTGCCTGTAGTCCTCATAAAAGTATTTTAAAATGCCTACAGTGAAGTGTGAAGAGACAAAAAGCAGTGAAGAAGAATTTCACACAATGGTGCACAATTTAAGGAAAACCCATAGGCAACCTGATTTTTCTTCTTCTGGGTAGAAACCAGCAATTTTTCAAAGTCTTATTTTGTTGTCATCTTACATATGCCTGCCTGTCACAAAAAGGTTGGAATATTAGCAAGACTAGTCAGAAAAAGATTCGGATAAAGGGGATAATTGGCTGAATGTAATCCCCAGGTGCAATATCTAAGCTAAAAGGGCCAGTATAATCCTTTGGATATCTAAATGGAAATACAGCGTTGAAGCAGACAGGTCATGCTACCTTAATTTAGCAATGGGACGCCTGCTAGAGCTTTGCTGTTCTGTACAATCCAACAAGACACAGACCTTAACGCTAATACTGATAAAGACAAACCTTCAAACTCTTTTTTGTGCAAAACACACGTATTCATAAGTCGCAGTGAAAACTAAGCATGAAACTTGGCAGCTCAGGTCAAGGCTGCACGTGGACAGACCCCGCACGGAATCAGTGATTTCAGAAAACCATCAGTGTGAAATATCAGCCAAAACCAGCCCACTGTAACGTGACACTTGGCATCATCATGGTGGGTGTCCTCAAGGCTGAAAGAACTTCGGGGTATCGGAAGGCATGATTCCATTTGTCATTGCAGTGGCAAGGAGTGACTCCAGTCACTCCCACACACTTAGGGTTGTGCTCTGGTACTGGGATGTCCTTGCTGCTGCTTGAACAGGAGTAAAAGGACTGGGCAACCTGGAGACAACGTAGGTTTTGAAGAGGTAAAGCATGTGCAATGGCACAGCAAAGGCTCTGGCATTCATTGCACCCCAGGAGCTCCAGGCAGGTGAAAGTTCCCAGAGAGAGGGCATCAGAGAAGGTGAAATGAAGAATATCCCAACTGGACAAGTGTCAGGACACCTCTGTAGCTAAGGCAGTATGTATGGCCAAGTAAATCAGGTGCACATGGGTGCACAAGATACACTTTTATAGGAAAACATAGACAGCCTCTGTCTCTGTGAGCTACTAATTTATTTTAAGAGACCCTAGGCTGGAAATGCATACTTTCACCAGAACTCCTCAGAGACATTCAGAGATCTCAAGTGGCTTTCAGCTTTACAGGGAAGATATTTCTCTTACCTTGCTTTAAGTACTTCATTCACTTTTTGTTCTAGTTCTAATCTCCTCTGCCGTTCCTTTTCTAGCTCCTGCCTTAACGTTTCAGCGTTTGTTTCTTCTCTCAGCTTCCTGAGTTCCTCCTCTGTTAATTAAAAAAGAAGAAAAAGATTTAGTTACCCTGAAGTATTTCTATAAGAGAATTACAACCTAATTATGACAGATTAGGTGGTGGGTTATTTTAAATCTGTGCTATAGCAAATATATTCACCAGAAAAAACAAGTAATCAATGACTAGAAAGACTTCATAAAAAGCGCAGAGCTTTATCATGTACAAAACGTTTAGTTACAATTGTTAAAGCAAGGGGGAAAACAACTTTAAAGTTTTCAACATGCAATGTATCAAAAATAAGGCCTTGGTACAAGCTATGTTTGTCTAAATAAAATGTAACATACCCTTCATTCCCCAAAGAAATAGTCTATTGCTAAATCCAGTGGTCATAACAAGGAAGAAAAAAAAAAAAAAAAGTATCTGTTTTCTTCCCCTCTGTTTATTGGTAGAAAAAAACCCCAATATACCCCAACATATACTCACATAAAGTTATATGATGCCATATAGCCATTTATTCATCAATTTCTGACACTTCTGCATTTTCATACAAGTCGGATGGCCCCATTATGGACCTGAATGTCTTACAGTTTTAAGAAGGGATTACGAGTCAAGGAACTAAATTCAGATTTTGACCCTTTTCTGAGGTTACATTGTGCCCTACTAACTTCCATGTAATGACTTATATACAAATATATATACATATGTATACTTACTTAAACAAACACTCTCACAACTTTTTAAATGAGAATTTAGTGTTAACTATGCATAAGGCTTTTTCTTTGGCTAGTTAGCCTTGCTTTTTTGTCACGGGCAGTATTGCTGTTTATCACCTTGTTTTATTCTAGAGCTACAACACTCGGCTACTATTGCTGATCACTTTTCCCAGATAGGTACACAAGAGACATGACAAAAAGATTAGGAATCCCTTTTTTATTTTTATTCTTTTTCCTCTTTTTAAACAAAAATTACTCTACATTTTGGTCTCTGGAATGGTTTTTAAGCTCAATCTGAACAATAAATAGTAGAACAGCAGGTATATTTCAAGCTTAAAGAAAACCAGAACAGAAAATACTTGCTAATTCCACTATCGACACAGGAGTTAAGGCTTTATGTCATTTTACAAGATTCATATATTATGTTCTACCCTCCAGCAACCTCTTCTGTTTCTTTTCACACACTGTGTTGTAAATCTTTGATAATCAGATAATTTCGATATCTGAGCCTCTCTGACTCCAATCATTATGTGTTTTGAGAAGGTCTGAAGCCCCAGTGCAAATATTCAGAACTGATAAACTCTCCCCCCTCTGCAGGAGGCCCTTGTGCAGTGTCTCTGATCATTTTATCTGCTGTGCAAGTTAGGTGCTGGTAGATTAACTGTACTCCTGCTGCACTAAGAGGTTTAGGGCACAGAATTAGGAGAGACGGGAAAGAGCTACATGAATCAAGAGGACAGTACAGCATGATGGCTTCCACCATGAGGCTACAGACCGACCTCCACCAAACTGAAAGGAGAGCTGTCATCCCACCACTGATGTTTTGTTAGTGACCACAGAAAGAAGAGTGAGAGAACAGAAAGCACGTTATCCTCCAGCACCTAAAACTGAAATTTATTCCCACGGTTAGGATAGGGAACTTTCACTGCTGCAGCAGGTATTGTCTCCCCTGTAAATAAATTGAAAGATACGGCCATAAGGGCACGCCTATACGTGGAGCATATGTGTGTCCTAATTATGCATCCACAAGGAATTTTAAATCCAACAGGAAAACTGCATTTATAAGTAGCTTATCCTACTTTCAAGGGTTTGCCTTGTTCCAGAACAAGAGCATGCACACAGCTGAGGGGAAACATCTGTTGCACTTCAAATGCACTGGAGCTTGTGCAATATCATGAAGATATCACAAGAAGTTCCAAAGCTTGATAGGGATTTTATCTTCTCAAGACCATTAAAGGGAAAAAAATCTTCATTAAGTACTTTTTTTTTTTTAAAGAGGAAGTGACTATGCATTGTGTACACATAAGAAAACCACAAGTAGTGTAAATTAACCTCAATGCCCTTGAAAGTCTACTCAGATCTTCCAGCTTCCTTAATTCTAGTTGTTCTGATTGCGCTACATCTTGTTCCATTAAAAGCAAAACAAAACCCCCAGAAACTTGACCATTAGGAGGACAAAGTGCCAGAGATGCAGAGTTTCTTTATGCAAAGAGGCAGAGTTAAAGGGTACACAACGAACAAGGTAGAACTCCTATAAAACAAAACAAAAAATACAGCATCTCATCATTAAGGATTGTCGCAGCTTCAGATTTCATGGCATTTCCTAACTTTCAAGCACATGACTTTGCAATTTAAATCCACCCACTGCAACTGCTCTGGCCCCTCCAACCCTTTAAAGCAGCATTTGTTGGTACTTTGGCAGCACTGCGGTCTGGCATTGTAAAACCTCCGTGTTTGGTTAGTTAAATACTTTACATTTGCTAAGCAACAGAGAGGGAGAAAAAAAAAAAAGTGCTCTTCCTTGCTCTTTCCCCTGAAATAATCTACAGTTTGGCCAAGCTGAACTGAACTTTCAGAGGACAGTTTTCTAGCCCTGAGGGCTCCTCCTGTAGAACGAGTGAAGTTGGCTACAAAGAGCAGAGGTCACAGACCCTTGAGAAGAGCCTGTAAGAACATTTCACCATGGTATCTATCTATTGAGCTTTTCAGTTGAGTATCCTGCTTGACGATGAGAACAGACTGCTCCTTGGACTTCATCTTCAGACAGTCAAAATTCAAAGATCCTTCCCCCTCCACACACACAAAAAGATAAAACATAAAAGGACAAGCTTCAGGTCCAAGATTAATCAGCTTCCATAATTTCCCTCCCAGGTACATCAATCTCAGCTCCCTACCTCCTGCTGGGCAAAAAAACTTCAAAATACTACAAGAGGCTCAGTGTACATCTTAACTGGACATGCAGGTGATGTGAGCAACCATAAAGGTGACTTGGTTAGATGGGGAAAATTACTGAACAGAAGAAAACCTCTGCTAAAGTGCTGACAGAGAAAATGCCTGCCAGCCTGGGAGACAGAAGTATCCTTGTGACAAGCAGCTGGACTCTTAGAAGTACACAGCTGGGTACCTAGAAACCAGAGACATCCTGAGATGCCACTAATAAGTGTAAAACCAAGGAACTGTAGCAGCACCTTATCATCTGCAAAGGTGGAAAACAGTCTGGAAAAAGGGGAAAACAATTTGAGAAAGTAAGAATTGGTAACTGTCATTGGCTGTTCTATCTGCAAGAATAGGAAAAGTCTGGAAAAATAAAAATTGCCAAAAGAGAACAGAAAACATCAACATCTATTAGATATGCCAGGTGAAAAGCGGAAATTAACAGCATTTATTGGTTGCTGAAGTGGTGGTGTCCTACATCTGTTTAATTCTCTGTGTTATAAAAATGACTTAACTTTTACCCAAAACAGAGTTTCTCTCTGAGAACTTCCCATGCTGCACATACTTTTCCTTTCCTAATTAGGCTGAACTCTCTGCATAAACTTTCTAAGAGATGTTGGACCCTCTCGGGGGAGAGTTTGGTTTGTCCTTCCACTTCTGCGATGGCTGGGTCCCCCTCTGGGGGTGGCTTCGTCGTCCCCTCTGGGATGATTTGACACCTTCTGAGATCTGTCTAAATAAGCTTACTACTGGTATTATTGTGAACACAGAGAAACATAAGCATATAACTAATCTATCATAAGTATTTCTGCTGCCATATTATTGATAAGTTTGCTTCGTAAGTGGTAAGTTTGTATTAACCTGTAATAATATACACCTACTTGTTTGCTGCCATACTATTGATTGTTGCCAATAATTTATAGCAGCTTTATATATATATATACATATATATTTTCTTTCAAATATATATTCACTTTGTATATTCAGTAGAGAAATATATATATTCAGTAGAGAAATTTAGAGTAAAAAAAAACATGTATTATGGAATCCTACCAACCCAGAGTCACAACCACTATACACCTGCAGGCTGGGTAACCCTTTAGGTTGTGACAGCAGGTGTGACCCTGAAAAAGTGCTTTAAAATCTCTCTGACAAAGTCACCTTGTGTAAAAAAGCAGGACAGTATTGGGATAACAGTGCATTTTTAAAAACGAGAGAAAAAATTGAGAAAAGACAACAATTGTGTTTCAACTACACTAACCTGCACATTATTGCACTGTAAACCCCAGGAGAGCTGAAAGACCACCATCAGCAATTTCAAAAATTACCAAAAAAATGTATCTACATCCGGCTTTCCAGAGTCTTTTATCATCCTTTAGGTGTAAAACAACTGTTCCACCTGTGCTCTAAGGATTGATAATTTAAATTTAAAGACTTAACAATTCAATACATTTAGTCGATACCCTGTAATTGTTAAAAGACAACCTATCCAGCTTTTTGTTGCATCATCCATATCATCAGCCACTAGAGCAACTGAAAAATTGCAGTTTGCTCTCCAGAATACGCAGCTTGTAAGAAAAGTTGTGATAAAAAGCTCTTAAATACCAAAGTATTTATTTCAGGTGACGCTGAAGAGTATCTGAGTAGTATTTAGAAAAGAAGGATGATGCATCAGGCTGGGAAGGCACGGCAGCAGGTTGGATTTCTAATTCAATACCGCATGTGCAGTAAAGCGGATGTCTCCCTTAATACGGGGATTGGAGGTGGATTAGGGAGTCTCCTAGTAGCTATTTTACATAATAGTATTCCTTTGTAGGCCTACAGGTATGCTGCAAAATCCCCTTCTGTAACAAAGTGATCAAAAATAAAATAAAAATCGAAATAGCTAGAGACTGCAGACCACTGTTTCTACCTACCAAATCAGTTTAGTGTTAAATCTAAAGAGATAGTTAAAAACTAGAAATGCCAAAAAGGGTACATGCACTGTCATATTTACGTGGGGAAACACCAGGACTTAACAAGACAGAAATAACCCTTCTACGTCTATGTTAATTATGGCAAATCTCCCTACAACCCTTTGAACATTACCAGAGTTCAAGTATGTTG